AAGAAGAAGAAGAAGAAGAAGAAGAAGAAGAAAATGATTAGAAAATTGACACTTTTTCCCTGCCAAGGCCGTCTCACAGCTCCTTGCCCCATGGTGGATAAGGAGTATAGGAGCGATCACACGCCTCCGTCGTCAGGTAATGCTCACCCGATTGGTCCGCGCCGCTCACGTCCTCGCCGTTGGGCCCATAGATGCGCAGCGACAAGTCGGACGCTCCGCCCGTGTTGCCCCAGAGCACCCTAATGGGATAGTACGTGCCCGCCTTGAGGTCCCTGTAAATGTTCCTGGGCCTGTTGTCGCCGTAGTAGAACTGGATAATGTCGGCATTGTCGCGCGTGTAGTTTTGGTATGCCTTGTCGCCGAACCACATGATGGTGATATCGTCCGAGTAGGGCGAGTTAAAGCGGTAGCGGCCGTCCTGGCAGGCAAAGAGGAAGCCACGGTAGCTGGCGGCGGCGTTTCTGAAGAGCGGGTTGAAGCCACTGCCGTGGTCGTCGTCGGTGATGTAGATGGCGGTCTGCAGCGTTGTGCTGTACACGGGCTTGGTTCTCTTGAAGTAGGCGGGCGAGAAGCTCTTATACGTTGGGGACGTATCTTGGCGGAAGGGGTTGTCGTATAGGGCGTACTGGATGCCCGTGGAACAGGTCGGGGTCGGGCAGCTGGAGGGAATGACGCGCGATTTGGTGGTTGTGGGAGGCGGCGGGATGAGGCTCGTGATGGGCCCGACGATGGTGGAGCTGTTGGTGGTGACGACGACGCTGGGAGTGATGGTGTTCTTTGTGGTGGTGGTGAAAGATGCAGTGGTGGAGTTGCTTGTTGCAATGACTGCCGTAGAGGTGCTAGTAGCTGGCGTTGCCATCTCCGTAGTGGTGGAGTTGGTGAGGATGAGTTGAACGCTGGTGACTGTCTCTTTAGACGTAGTGGTGGTGAGAGATGCAGTGGTGGAGTTGTTTGTTGCAATGACTGCCTTAGAGGTGCTAGTTACTGGCGTTGTCGTCCCGGTAGTGGAGTTGGTGAGGATGGGTTGAACGCTGGTGACTGTCCCTATCAAGGTAGTGGTGGTGAGAGATGTAATTGTAGAGTTATTCGTTGTGATGCCCCCAGTCGAGGTGACAATGGCCGGCGTTGTAAGAGTTCCCGTAGTGGTGGAATCGGTGATCATCCCCTTGGACGTGATGGTGGTAGGAGATGTAACAGTAGAATTGTTTGTCGCAATGACCTCAATTGAGGTGACCTCCATGGGCGTTGCCAAAGTCTCGGAAGCCGTGACGGTGGTGAGAACTGAACCAATACTAGTGACTACCCCCTCATCACACGTGGTGGTACCGATAGATGTGAAAGTAGAGTTGTTTGCCGTGATGACCTCGGTCGAGGTGACAATCACAGGTGTTGTCAGAGTCTCCGTGGTGGAAATAGCAACATCGGTCGTGAATGTCCCGGTACTGATGACCATGGACGTGCTTGTCTCAACAATGGGTGTGCCACTCAATGTCGTGGTGTAAGTCACAACCTTGGGGACAATGGTAGTGATGACGACGGTCTCGCGAGACGTCTCGGGTACAGTCACAGCAGCAGTGGTAATACTATCCTCTGTAACGGTGCAGTCGTCGGTCATGGTCCCGTCAAGAGTTTTTGTGATTAAGCCGCCACTGGACGAGAGTACCGCAACGACCGAGCCACTGGTAATGGGCTCGGAGCTGCCACCGGCGAGAAAGTTCTGGATGACAACGGAGCCACCAGAGATACCCTGGGCGCTGCTACCATTGGGAGAGTGAGAGGTCATGGTCAATGAATGACCGTCGGGGCCGACATTCTTGCCGCCGTGGCCAGTGTTGGTGTTGACATCTTGGACACTAATACAGCAAGCCCCAGGCCGGCAGGGTTCCACAGGAAGATCGCCTTCTCCCCCGAGCATGAAGTACGCATAACACGGGTGCTGCTCAAAAGGAAGGTACCTGGTGACGGTGACAACATTAGGCTGTTGGTGAGCAGCCGCGAGAGAGGCCGACGCCAGGAAAAGAGTGAGACACTGCATTGTGAAGCAGGCAATCGTGGATGAGTGTTGGTGTGCTCCCCCCTTGAGTTTTTACGGAATCACATCGCTACTTATATCAGAGGCACTACGATACAACAGACTGATTGCGCGCTCATTATTTGCCTCCCCCTATGCACGGCTTTGGCTGGCATGGACTGCTGGAGCCGTTGGTGTCAATGGTGGCCGTGATTGCCAGAATGCCCGCCATCTTGGGCGCCGACGGCCGCGCCATGTCCGCAACGACATCAGGCCACCAATGGCGAATATAGATGAATTTCGGTGAATTTCGGTGAGATGCTTTGACTTTCGTCCCACGTGGCTTTTCGGTGTGCAGAGAAATTTCCTCTTCTGCCAAGGCGACGGTGATGAGTGTGGGGAGTGAACATACGACTGGACGAGAGATGGAGGACGGCCAAGCGAGAAGCGCCTCGGGTTACAAAGGAAGATTCTGCATTATTGCATATATCTTCAAAAAGAATATACAAATGTGAGATATTCCCTTTAATCCGTCTTTTCTTCTCCTTTGGTTGCTTATGCTGACGCCTCGCCTCGCTTTCTTGGTCTTGAAACTGCTATTGTCCCACGCTCAATAGTGTCGTCGTTTCGAATGACCACCGGCCAGCCGGTTCGAAACCAGCCACTGCGGCAAGGGGTCCTGGCCCAATTCGGCACGCGGGCCATGGATCCTGGAGATGCTGGGGCGGGCTGCTATTCGGAGTTTACAGCCCGGAGTGCTGGTATAAGTGAACGGGCTGGAGCTCATATGACTCCGCTATCACACGACTCAGGGTGTTTTTGTGCGGTGGCAAAGGTCAGGTTGGCCGACGATGGGGGCCTTGTTCGCCATGGACGCTGACCTCCTAATCTCCCAACTTACCACGCGCGTACGCTAATGGGTTCTCAGCTAGGGTCCGCCTCCCGTTAGCGCATTTTTGCTGTTGAGCCAATAGGGCACACTGGCGATGCTACTATTTACTACAAGCCCATGACTGCTGTCATCCCGTTGTACTGCAAGAACCGTTATAGGTGATACGTACAGTCAGGAACAGGTTTAGCGTCCACACTCTAGGCTAAAAAAAAAATCAGATTTAGTCATGTTTAGGCCGATTTTGGCTGCCTCCACAACATCGTTTTATGGATCCATGTGGACGCTGAACCCGAACCCAACC